AAAAAAAAAAAAAAAAAAAAAAAAAAAAAAAAAAAAAAAAAAAAAAAAAAAAAACAAAACAAATCAACAACAACAATAACAGGCCTAAGACGACCCTCTAATTTTTTATACAACATGTGATCGTCTTAGGTCAAGCTCAACCTTTCTTAACATAATTCAAAACTAGAATATCTACTCTCCTAATTAGATTGTCAAATGGTCAATGATCAGTTGTTTGACATTTAATGTGACCAAATATCTAAGATCACTCTCTAAACTTGTCTGCCACTATAGTTAGAACATCTACTCTCCTAATTAGATTGTCAAATGGTCAAAGTTTACTGTGATCAGATCTTTGACATTTAATGTGACCAAATATCTAAGATCACTCTCTAAACTTGTCTGCCACTATAGCTATACTAACCATTTCATACATACATTCATTTCACATTTTGCCTCTAAATGTCAAGCCACTCATCCACTTAAACATTTTCATCTCTACAACACTTAACATAGTTTTATGCTTCTCTTTTAAATGCAAACCTTCTACACCATAAATTACCTCACCACAATCTCATAAAATTTTCCTGTAAGTCTAAGCGATACTTTTCTATCACACAATAGGTCTGATGCTTTCCTCCATTTCAACCTTCCAACTTGTATTCTACTAATAACATTATCATCCATATCACCATCACTTTGAACAATAGGCCCCAGATATCTAAAATGTTCACTACTTTTAATGATTTGATCATCCATTCCCACATAAAAAAATATCATCACTGAAAAACATACCTCCCTCAATTGTTTCAAGTGGGGGAGAAATATGAAAGTTTTGATGGCCTCCGTAAGTAGAGATCTTGTTGTCGCTTTCCAAGCTAGCTCTAATGGCGACTATATCACAAAGGTTCATTCACGAAGCGATGGATTTGAAGAAACTGGCAGGGGAAGGAGATAAGTAAGGGTTTCGTTGGAGATGGGCGAAACTGGGAGAGGGGGAGGTCGTAAGCGAGAGTTTCAAGATTGTGGGAGAAGAAATGAGGCTTGAGGAGCGAGAATCGAATTTTAGGGCATTGACGTTGGATTTTCGCTTGCCTGTTGTCGCTTTCCAAGCTAGCTCTAATGGTGACTATATTACAAAGGTTCATTCACGAAGCGATGGGTTTGGAGAAACTGGCAGGAGAGGGAGATAAGTAAGGGTTTCGTTGGAGATGGGCGAAACTGGGAGAGGGGGAGGTCGTAAGCGAGAGTTTCAAGATTGTGGGAGAAGAAATGAGGCTTGAGGAGCGAGAATCGAATTTTAGGGCATTGACGTTGGATTTTCGCTTGCTTTGCGTTGGATTATTTTGACATAATTATCTAACAACGGAGTTTGCGATGGAATTTGCGTCCACTAATTCAACACAACTAAATACGTGTTTGCATTGACTTCTTTGACACAGATTCCATTGCAATCCAACATCAGGCATCGTTTTGATTTTAGTATTTAGGTGGGAGATACACTGGACTTTTGTGCTTCACGCATGGATTTTGAAACATACCCTATGTATGGTAAATGAGCAGTTGTGACGCCACCTGCATAAATTCCTCAACATCATTCAA